GGATCACGCCTGTTATCCCAGCACTTTGGGAGGCAGAGGTAAAAGGATTGCCCGAGTCCAGGTGTTCAAGATCAGGCTGGGCAACTTGGCAAGACCTCGTCTCTACAATAAATCAAAAAATTAGCTAGGCATGGTGGTGGGCACCTGTGGTTCCAGCTACTTGGAAGGCTGAAGTGGGAGGATCACCTGAGCCCAGCAGGTAGAGGCTACAATGGCTGTGAAATTGCCACTGCACTCTAGCCTGGGCGATTTGACTTAAAAAAAGAAAGCTAAAACAAGGACAAATATCTGCATCCATTTACGGCTACCACTGCTAAGATGCAAAGCACTCCTGCTGTCCTGAAAAAGCATCACTGATAGAAAACTGTACCCAGGATAGGAACAGAAACCTCACAAAGAAAAAAATAAAAAAGGGTAATTAACTCTTTTTTTTTTTTTTTTAGAAAGCAAGATTTATTGAGAGGACAGAAAAGCTCCCACAGCGGGAGGGGACCCAAAGGGGTTGCCCGGCAATTAACTCTTTAACAGATACAACCTACAAGTGAGGAAACACAAATCAAGCACAGATGACCTTTTTCCTCAAATGGAAAATAAGATTAAAATAATCTAAGCCAGGCATGGTGGCAAACGCCTGTAATTCCAGCTACTCAGAAGGCTGAGGTGAGAAGACTGCTTGAGCTCTGGAGCTGGAGGTTACCCTGGGCAACACAGCAACATCCCATTACTTAAAAAAATTAAAATTAATACTTAGCACATAATTCCATTCTTGCAAAGGAAAAAGTGTCTATGTGTGTCTACCTAAAAGTGTATGGAGAAATGCAGGAGACTGGGTTGGACACACATCAGACTGAGCTGGGGTCACCATCTGGAGATGAAAGGAGGTAAGCAAGGGAAACATTTTTTTCCTTAAAAACAAAAAAGAAAAATAGAGTGGGTGTATGAGAAGTTCACTTGGTGCGAGCTAATCATCCCTTTGGAACTAAAAACCTCCTCCAAGAATAGACAATGTTTTGGGCGAGCTGGTAAGCTCTTTACTCCCCGGTTATCCAATGATGAGGAGCCCAAAAGCCACCAACCTGGGACAGAGGAGGCGCCCCCCAATGTAGCGTGAAACACACCAGGTGGGAAATGTCTGTGGTCTGTCCCTGTGGAGAGCAGGACAAGCAGCGCCCAGCTGCTTCCTTCCCAGGAACCAGCACACTCTGCCAGCCCTTCCTTCCCAGGGGCCAGAGTCTCCCGCCTTCCAGGCCCAGCGGTACCTGTCACAACAGCTCACAGAGCCTCGCGCCCTCTTGCCCTGCAGGCCATCCCGGCACTCCCTACCAGGCTTCCCTCGTGGCTGGCCTCTGCCTTTGCTGACCCTATCCCCTCCCTGTCCTCTCCCAGGCCCCTGCACTCACCTGTCCTCATACTGGCCTCTGCACTGTTCCTGGACACGCCAGCTGCACCTGCAGCCCCCACGTCCACTGCCTCAGCCCTGAGATCCCTATTCCAGCTGGCCAAGCACTATCACCCCGCTGGATCATCCACCTCCTCCAAGCCTTCTCGTTCCAGGTCTGTCTATGCCAGTATGGGGTTCCTGCGGGCAGGGCCGCACCGGCAGGGCTGAGAAGCGCCTGGTCCAGGGAAGACCCCAGATAAGGACCTGCGGAATGAATGGCTAATCCACTGGTCTGCTGAACTAACGAAGACTCCCTGGCTTCAGAAGCAGTGGCTACTTTCAACGTTTTACTATTACAAATACAATAAAGAAATAATACAATAGAAAGGCAAGGTGGTTTTCCATCTCAAAGTAACTGTATACAAGGGGGGACCCCCCCAAAAAAACTGGAATTATCTTTTGTAGTCTTGTAGTTCAGGCTTCCCCCGCTAGGTAAGTCTTCTAGGAACCCATCGGCTTCAGTGTACCAGCTAGTGTTGTTGTGAGAGGCTGCGTTCAGTTTCAGTGAATTTTTTTTTTTTGTGTGGAGATTCTTTCAGTGTGTTTGCTCGTTATCATGATGGGTGATCTATGAGCACACCTGCCCATACCGCACTGAATATTCAGCAGTTTTTAACCAAAATTGGTATGACCCCTATGCCCCAACCTCCCTATTTACCCCATCTCATCCCAAGAGATTTTTGTTTCCCTGGATGGAAAAAGTCCTCAAAGGGACTTTTGCCAATGTGGAAGACATCAAACAAAAAAATGGCCCAAGTGCTAAAAGGCATGAAAATTAACACATTCAAAAACTATTAGAGCAGTGAAAAAAAGCATTTTGATAGGTATACAGCATCCAACAGAGAGTACTTTGAAGATGAATTAATACACATTTTTTATAAATAAATTCTGGGGTTTTGGGATCCGCCCTATACATAAACCCACGTTAAGGTACTACATTTAAAACTCTGTAATACTAGGCCTCAAACAGAAACAAATTAATGGAAATAAATAAGGAACTCAGAAGGTGATCCACTTATATACTTAAAAACTGAATATGAGATTGATGAAGTTTTTCAAAACAAAAGGTCCTCAGAAGAATCAGCAGGGTGAGGGCACGCTCCCTCACAGTCGGGAGGAGTGTTTAGAGGAAGCTGCCTCTAAGCTGGAGAGACAATGAGCCCAGTGAGCGGCCCCCACTTCCAAGTCCTTTGACTTGGCTCTCCCAGGGCTCCTGTATTCTATCTGCTTTCCCCCAGCCTCAGTCAGAGCACCCATGAGCCACCACTTCCCTACTGACCTACCTCATTCAAATGTGTCCATCCTGAATCTCAAAACTCAAATGTGGAATGGCTGGAGCCGTGTCCACTTTCCTGCACAGCTACAGCGAGGTCTGCTTTAAGCCTGTGGCTGCAGTGTACCGTGGAACCACATTCCAAGGGGTTTACTGAACATGCATTTTACAAGTGAAGAACCGTGAGAGCCTGCCCTGTGTTAGAGACAACAGTCACCCCTCTTCTGCAGCCAGACACAGACAGGAGACTGAGGAGGGCGCCTGGCTCCAAGGACGAGAAGGAGTGTCAACGGGGAGGCGGCTCTAAAGGTCCAGTGGGAGACCAGAGGCCCGCTAAGCTGTGTACCAGTTGGAAGAACCAGGGGAGGAAACGCCATCAGACTGGGGAGGGCACAGACCGCAGGGTAGCAGTCACATGGGCTACTGTACAGCCATGTAGGGGACCTAGGCCTGTCCTGTAAGGAACCTGAGCAGCAGGTCAGAAAACTGCCCCTGAGAGGGGACAACAGCGGGAGAAGAGGAGGGCGGCACACCCCAACACGAGAAAGATGCAGCAAGCCAGCAGGGCTCTGACAACCACACCACAAGCAATGCCAACCATGAGCTCCCGCAGTCAGATGGGGACGCCCAGGGTACTGGCTTGGCAGCGCCAGAGGCTGACCCGCCAGCTCTGCTGCCTGTACTACAGGTGGACCCAGAGTCACAAGCTCAGCCTTGCTGCCTGGAGGATCTCTATATTCTATCAGATCCTAAACAATACCAAATGTCGACGGTACTTATTCACGCAACAAACCGCATCTTACTCTGCTCAGGACAAAGGACAAGAGCAAAGAGGGGATGAGAAAGTCAAGGCCCCCGCACATCAGATGCACCCACCTACTGCCAAGTGTTCAGAGAGGTACTGATCAAAAGCATAATGAGCTCTTACCTTCATTACAAGCCAGGTGGGCAAAAAAGGCAATGATCTGCACTGTCTTCCCGAGCCCGGCTTCATCTGCCAAGATGCCATTGAGACTTTTGCGGTACAGTTTGGCCAGCCAGTCTAGGCCGATCTTCTGGTAATCTCTGAGAGCACCATAGAGCAAAGCCGGAGCATTAAACTTCACCTGCAGCAACAGACAGATGAACCAACGAATAACTGCTTGTCAAACAACCATCCAAACTGTCTCAAAACTGAAATCAAACAGTCATGTGAAAAACTGACGGGACAACCACAAAAGTGATCTACAGAAAACAGGAAGGGGAAGACCAAGAACCGCATTTTCTGACAACAGCGCTGGGATAAAGCACTTCTTTGGAATTAGAAAAAGCTTTTCTCATGACCCACTAAGAAACATGCGCTTTCTCACAAAGACGGCCCCCCTCTTGCTGGAAAGCCCTGTCCTCACCGAGGTCGTGATCCGAGCACTGCCCTTGGGCAGGATGGCTTCAGCCACAGCAGTGACCTCTGCAATGTCCCTGGTATTGGGTTTCCCAATATTCATTCTCTCTGCGGCTTTAAACTGATCCATGATGAAGAGTGAGTCGATGACAACCACGTCCTTCCGGCTCTCGCCATCCCCAGCACAATCTTCTGCATCTGCAACAACAACGAGACAAGGGGTGTGGGGCCGCTGGGAGGGCTCATCAACCTCAACATGAATAGCCCAGAAGGGAAGCTAATGGAATATGAACACTTCACATACAGATTCAGTAGTAACCTTTGTGTCTGTAATCCAATTTATATCTCTAACAATGCTGTCTAGATACATGGGCAAGAACTCTTATGAAACTGTCAAAGTTAGAACTATTCTGGAATGCTCTCAGAGCTTAATTTGCCCCAAATAGCCTGGTGTTTGCAAACCACCTTGATCACAATCAAGAGCTACTATCATGGATAAATTTGTAGCCATCTCAGGGTTTAGGGATCTCCCCTCCACCAGAAAGAAAAATGAGAAGTGTTCCATAAGTATGGGAAACAGGAGGAGACCAACCTCTCCCTTCTCCAGGGCCTGCTGCCTGCACAGGATTTGGAAAAGGCCCTGGCCTCACCTGGGAACTCTTATGGGACCCGGCACCACCTGCCTCTCCTAGCCACCCCCTCCCACGACTCACATGCACATATGTTAAAATCAGAACAACTGGAATGACAACAGGAAAGGCCAACTTTCTTTGGTGTATTCTATATGTCTGATGGAATGTTTACAATACAAGTAGCATAAACTACTGAAAACTGGTATACTAAACAGCACAGTTTTTATAAATATAATAAAAATCTAGGTCAACCAGGCATGGTGGCTAATGCCTGTCATTGCAACACTTTGGGAGGCAGAGGAGAGAGGACTGCCTAAGCCCAGGGGTTCGAAACCAGCCTGGGCAACTTGGCAAAACCTCATCTCTACAATAAATCAAAAATTTAGTCAGGCATGGTGGTATGTGCCTGTGGTTCTAGCTACTTAGAAGCCTGAGGCAGAAGGACTGCCTGAGCCCAGCACTTAGAGGCTGCAGTGGCCATGAGTGTGCCACTGCACTCCAACCTGGGCGAGAGTGGAACTCCTATTCAAAAAAAATAAAAATAAAAATCTAGGTCCATAAAATAATGACATTTAAAAGTCTAAGCCGGGCTCGGTGGCTCAGCCTGTAATCACGTGCCTTTGGGAGGCTGAGGTGAGTGGATTGCCTGAGCCCGCGGGTTTGAGACCCCGCCTGGGCAGGCGAGACCTCATCTCTACAATAAATCAAAAAATTAGCTGGGCAAGGTAGCGTGCGGCTGTAGTTCCGGCTAGACTCTAACTAAAAAAAAAAAAAGTTTAGAGAAAAATATTTCCACAGCTTTCACAACCTGATCAAGTGCTCTAATAATTGTGTCAAATTAATGAAAATCACAGAATTTAGTTAAATTCTACTCAATATAAAATTACAAATTAAATACATTTTTAATTTTTTATTTCACCAAACAAAAAAAAAAAAAAAAAAAAAAAAGAAAGAAACAAACTTTCTTTTTTTGAGTCAGAGTTTCATTCTGTCACCTGGGCTGGAGTGCAGTGGAACAATCATGGCTCACCACAGCCTTGACCCCCTGGGACCAGGCAAACATCTTGCTTCCTCAGTCGTCGGAGTAGCTGGGACTATAGGTATGCACCACCATGCCCGGCTAATTATCTTATTATTTGTACAGACAGGGATCTCACCATGTTGCCCAGGCTGGTCTCAAACTCCTGGGCTCAAGCAACCCTCCCACCTCAGCCTCCTACAGTGCTAGGATCACAGGTACGAGTCCCATGCTGGCCTGAAAAGTAAATTTCTTATTCTGATATCAAGTCTTCATTTGTAAGTGTCATGGCCTTTACTTTCAAACCTGAACTCTCTCTGCATGCTGGAAACACACCTTCTTCTCCGCTTGTCTCTTCGCTATCCGGCCTGGGCTGGGGTCGCTGAGCGCCAGGCAGAAAGGCGCCCTCGTACAGCTTCATCAGGTCAGTTAGGGGTAGCTCAGCTGGAGAGGGTCGCAGGAGGAAAGGGCACGATGTTATCGCCACAGGCATTTAGCTGAGAAGACAAAGTAGCCAGGAGGGCCACAGCCAGAACGAAGGAGCTTCTTTTCACGTATATGCCTTCCCCTGGCTTTAGATCAGTCCTTGGAAACTGAAAGTGTATTTATTCTTTCTAAAAACTAAAATGGCTGCCCATTACTGACACAGGGTCTAAAATATTTTCTTGCAGGGATTGTGGATGTGAACGAGAAATTACTTAATGGATACAATGTATATAATTAGAGTAATAGTTCACCACTGCACAATGAGTCCATGTAACAAAACTGCACTTATATCCCTTAAATGTATACAAAAAAGATAAAAATAAAAAACACTCATTTGTGAAGATGAGAACCATTTAAGTAAAATGAAGAAACTCAATTTTATTCATAAAAGAACACAAAAATTGCTGGGCACCGTGGTTCATGCCTGTAATCCCAGCACTTTGGGAGGCAGGGACAAGAGGATTGCCTGAGCCCAAGGGTTCCACACCGGCCTAGGCAACTTGGTGACACTTTGTCTCTACAATAAATCAAAACATTAGCCAGGCGTGGTGGCACATCCCTGTAGTTCCAGGTATCTGGGGGGGCAGAGCAGAAGGATAGCCTGACCCAAGCAGGTCTAGGTTGCAGAGGCTATCAGAGTGCCATTGTACTCCACCCTGGATGACAGAGTGAGACTCTGACTCAAAAAAAAAAAAAGCTGCCTCAACACAATTGAGGTAAGTGAGAAACACACAAATCTACTGTCAATCAAAATGCAACTCATGTAGAATAACAATAAAAACATGTCTTAAAAGCCCTGTGTTGCCTGGGTACAGTGGCTCAGCCTGTAATCGCAGCACTTTGGGAGGCCGAGGTGAGAGGACTGCCTGAGCCTGGGGGTTCGAGACCACCCTGGGCAACTTGGCAAGACGTCTCTGCAGTAAATCAAAAAATTAGTCAGGCATGGTGGCGTGTGCCTATAATATAGTTCTAGCTACTTGGAAAACTGAGGGAGAAGGATCGCCTGAGCCCAGTAGGTGGAAACTGCGGTGGCCATGAGCATGCCACTGCACTCCAGCCTGAGCAACAGAGTGAGACCCCAACCCCCCCCAAAAAAAAAATCTGTGTTGCTAGAAACTAAAGAGCACATGCCCACACAACTCAGGGGTCAGTGAGAAAGTACACAGGGAAAGTTAGAAAACATTTAAAACTGAATAGTAAAACATGATATATGATAAAGCAGTCATGACTAGGAAATTTAGATCCTTAGATGTTTATATTAATGAGCTCATAAAAATTAATGAGCTAGTCATCTAACTTCTACAATCAGAAAAAGACAACAGTGTTTTTAAAAAGGACATACTAAGAGGAGAAAATAACAGAACAGAAAATAATATACAGACTCCAAGTAGAAAGAATAATGAAACTGAAAAACATTTGACAAGGCCAATCAAGAAAACAGGGAAGGCATAAATACACAATATAGGGAAAAGGGAAACATACCCACAAAGACAGCCAAGATGAAAAGCACTGTAAGGAGGAATTATTAATAATGCATGCCAATAAATTTTAAAATTTAGATAAAATGAACAAATTCTTAGAAAATGTCCCTATCAAAGTTGACTATGGCTGGATACAGTGTCTCATGCATGTAACCCCAGCACTTTGGGAGGCCAAAGAGAGAGTTACTTGAGCCCAGGAATTCAGGACTAACCTAGGCAACATAGCAAGACCACATCTCCACAAAAAACTTTAAAAATTAGCTGGGCATGGTGGTGCGTGTCTGCAGTCCCAGCTACTTGGGAGGATGCGGTAGGAGGACCACCTGAATCCAGGAGGTCAAGGCCGTAATGAGCTGTGATCATGCCACTGTACACCAGCCTGGGTGGCAGAGTAGGATTCCAACCCGAAAAGAATTTCAAGTCTAAGGTTTGAGGTATAAAGAACAAAAAATAACTGAAATATAAATTTTAAAAATATACCACAACTTCAAACAATATACAGTACCTCAAAGTAAATTGAACAAAAAAATACAATCATAAAATTTTACTGAAAGCTATTTAAGAAAACCTAAATCAACAGAGAATTATATTTTGATCATAGATTGGAAGGCTCAACCTCATAAAGATGGCGATTCTCACTAAACATCCATTAATGTAATTAGTTTTGTTTTGTTTTGGTTTGGTTTGAACTGGGATCTGACTCTGTCACCCAGGCTGGAGTGAATTGCAATTAAATTCTAATCAAAGGCCAGGCGTGGTGGCTCAGCCTGTAATCCCAGCACTTTGGGAGGCCGAGGAGAGAGGATTACCTGAGCCCAGTCTGGGCAACTTGTCAAGACCTGCAATAAATCACAAAAACTAGCCGGGTGTGGTGGCATGAGTCTATAGTTCCAGCTGCTTGGAAGGCTGAGGTAGAAGGATCACCTAAGCCCAGTAGGTCAAGGCTGCGGTGGCCGTGAGTGTGCCACTGTACTCCATCCTGGGCAACAGAGACTCCAACTCAAAAAAAAAATTCTTATCAAAATTCTCAACAGGTTTTTCTGTGAAACTTGATAAGCTGATTCTAATGTGTCTCTGAAATACTTCCAAAATACTCAAGACCCTCTTAAAACAGAGCAAGGTAGAGGAACTTATCTAGCCAGGTATCAGGAATCATTATAAAGCAATAGTAAGGAAAACAGTGCAGCATTAGTATAGAAATTGGTACAAGCTGACCAACAAAAGAACAAAGTCTCCAGAAAGAGTCATGCATGATAAGAAGCCTGACTTATATCTGAGCTGGCACTGAAGACCAATGGGGAAAACAAGGACTTTTCCACAGTGGTGCCAGGATAATTAGCTATACACTAGAGGAAAAAAAGGAAACTGCACTGTTATATTACATTACAGACAAAAGCAATTTTTTTTTCTTTTTGAGTCAGAGTCTCCCTCTGCCACCCAGGCTGGAGTGCAGTGGCATGCTCACGGCCACCACAGCCTTGTCCTGCTGGGTTCAGGTGATCCTTCTGCCTCAGTCTTCCAAATAGCTGGAAATACAAGTGCATGCCACCCTGCTGGGCTAATTTTTTTATTTATTGTAGAGACAAGGTCTCACCAAGTTGCCCAGGATGGTCTCAAACCCATGAACTCAGGCAATCCTCTCACCTTGGCCTCCCAAACTGCTGGGATTACAGATTTGAGCCACTGTGCCCAGCCCCTTATGATCTTAACATTTTATTTTCTCCAGCTTACTTTACTGTCAGAAGACAGCATCCAACACATAATATACAAAATACATATTAACTGGCTGCTTATGTTATCAGTAAGGCTTCCTGTCAACAATATGCTGTTAGTGGTTAATTCTGGGGAGTCAAAAGTTGTATGAGAATTTCTGACTGCGCCAGGGAGGGTCAGTACATCTAAGTACCACATTGTTCAAGGGCTAACTATATAATAAACTAATTTTTTCTTATTATTATAATAAAACAACATTGATGTATACTGTTTCACTTAAAGTTGCACATAAGGACTTACTGAACACTAAAATTAAGAACACCTTTGGGCAGGGCGCGATGGCTCATGCCTATAATCCCAGCACTTTGGGAGGCCAAGGTGAGAGGATTGTCTGAACCCAGGGGTTCGAGACCAGCCTGGGCAACTTGGTAAGACCTCATCTCTACAATAAATCAAGAAAAACTAGCTGGGCATGATAGCACATGCCTGTAGTTCCAGCTACTTGGCAGGCTGAGGTGGAAGGATCGCCTGAGTCCAGCAGGTCGAGGCTGCAGTGGCTATGAGCGTGCCACTGCACTCCAGCCTGAGCAACAGAGTGAGCAGAGTGTGACTCCAACTCAAAAACAAAGCAAAACAAAAGAAACCTTTCATCAAAAGACACCATAAAGAAATAAAAAGTCAGCTGGGCTCGGTGGCTCAGCCTGTAATCCCGCACTTTGGGAGGCCAAGGTGAGTGGATTGCCCGAGTCCGTGGGTTCGAGACCTGCCTGGGCAACTTGGCGAGACCTCATCTCTACAATAAATCAAAAAATTAGCTGGACGTAGTAGCGCGCGCCTGTAGTTCCAGCTATTTGGAAGGCTGAGGTGGAAGGATCGCTGGAGCCCAGCAGGTTGAGGCTGCGGTGGCCAGTCTGCACTCCAGTCTGGGCGACAGAGTGAGACTCCAACTCAGAAAAAAAAAAGGAAAAAAAAAAGAAATGAAAATTCATGCCAGTAACTGAGAAACGTCAACACACAGCTAAGAATTTGTGTCATGAATATACAAAGAACACTCACAAGTGTTCGGTGGTGAGAACTAGCAAGCATACAGCAGCACACGGCATCATGGATGAAGCAGGAGCATGGAGGCTGAGCAGATCAGGCAGGCCCGTGAGACTCCGGGACAACTCCATGCACACGTGCTAACCAACACACTCAGGGAGATACACGCAGGTGGCAAGGGAGAGAGTCCAGAGTGACTAGTATGAAATCCAGGGCTGGCCCTCCTAGGACAGAGGCGTGTGAGCGACAGGCGGGACGTGAGGCTATTGCTCTGAAGTGGGGGTAGCAGGTGACACTGGTGCTCCAGGCATTGTTATTTATAGCTGGCACATTTTTAAGTGGCCACTGGTATCTATCTAATGTTTAATGACAGCAACCGTTAATAAGACAACGACGGCCTCACCTTCTCTGGCTAAATTGGAGAGCTCTGTTTGGTGATCTACAGCCCCTTCACTCGCTTCTTCCTCTTCAATCGTCTCCTCTTCGTCTTCCACTGAAATGGTTATCATCAAACATCAGTGAGATGGAACTTATTATACACAATAAGGCTTCAAAGTTGTTTTGCATAGCTATTAAAGAAATTAAAACTGAGCTTTTTAGTATCTCAGGTCAAATCTGGAAATGACAGCTTAGTTCAACGAGCAGGAAATTGGGACCATATCTCCCGTTCCATCTCAGGATGTGAACAACAGCCCTGGCTTCTTAGGAAACACTCAGATCAGCACACAGAGTGCTGCGCAATGGTCCATCTTTTGCTGGGCCCTACAAGCATGCTGCCTGGGACCCATGGCCTTGTCATCGCCCACCCTGTAGGCCCCGGCCTCACCTGCTATGCTTTCCCTCACTCTTTTGCTGTTACCCACAACCACCAGTTCAAGCCAGCTCTACTCTCTTCAGACCTCCAACCCTGAACCTTGCCCCTGGCTCCAGCAGGAGCTTGGCAGAGGAAAGAGACTCTACTAGATCTCAGCAGCTCAGCTTCCTCTGCCAATGGACCCCGTCCCCACCATGAGGCCTGGCAAGTGTGCCTTCCCTCTCCCGTCAGCATGCACATGTGTTGCTATAGCTACTCCCCACAAACAACCCAACACCTCTCCCCACGAGCCAGTTACCCCCTCACTTCTCCACTACAAGACCCCACTGCCAGCTGGGCATGGTGGCTTATATCTGTCATCCCAGCACTTTGGGAGGCGGAGGCAAGAGGACTGCCTGAGCCCAGGGGTTCAAGACCAGCCTGGGCAACTCAGCCAGACTTCGTCTCTACAATAAATCAAAAAATTAGCCAGGCATGGTGGCACATGCCTATAGTTCCAGCTACTTGGAAGGCTGAGGCAGAAGGACTGCCTGAGCCCAGTAGGTCAAGGCTGCGGAGGCCATGAGCATACCCCTGCACTCCAGCCTGGGTGACAGACTGAGACTCCAACTCAAAAAATAATGAGGTGGTGTTACAAATGTAACAGCAGCTACCCTCAGATCAAAGAAAATGTGTTCTTCATAAAGAAAGGACTTAATTCTTTTCTAGGTGACAGGAAATATACAAACCTATTGTATTCCATTGTGTTTCTCTGACTGCCTAAAAGGTCAGAGTTAAATTCATCCACAAGTGCAGAATGATGTTACCTGGAATTCTGGGCACCAGCCCTCGGGGCACACCACCCCAGCTGGTACAGGACAAGCTATGAAGAATGAAAGAAGTGCACCTCTGTCCCTGACCTTCAACCAGTCTTAAGTCTCAAATGCTCTGTGTCTGGTGTGTTAGCTGTCACAATCACTGCCAACTTTTCCCTGGATGACTTGGGCTTCGGAGTGAAGATGGAGAAGAAAACACGGCCTCATAGTTTAAAGTTATAAGACCCAGAGATAAGCAAATATAGATCGGACAGGGTCAGGAAAGAAAGCACTAGAATTTCCCTAAAAATAAAGCGCACAGCACCATGACCCCACACACAGGAGGCAAGGCAGTCACTCCTGGGCCTCTAATCCACCCCATCAGTGCTCCTCACACTTAAAGACCCATCAGGAAAGCATGTGAAATCCCTATACACTGCCAGGACAGCAACCTCCAGAAGTATCTAGTCTGTTCCTTCCTCCCTAGCCAGACCCACCTTCCTCCACGCCCACTCAGCCTGACTTGAAGGCTGCAAGGGCCAGTTACCGAGCAGCAGCAGCTGGCTAGGGACACGCAGGCAGAAGCCCTGCCAGGGTGCATCTGTGAGAATGTTTCAACACAGCAACCAGGCAAGAGGCACCCTTTCTGCTCCTCTGACTCACTGCTTCCTCCAGCTATGATGACAGTAACTACAGCTATAAGAGTCACCCGACAAAAAGAGTAGTTGGAGCTGCAGGAGCCACTTGCCCAGGAGAGTGGCTGGAGCTGCAGGAGTCACCCACCCAAGACAAGAGCTGGAATTGCAGGAGCCACCCACCCAGGAGAGCAGCTGGAGCTGCAGGAGCCACCCACCCAGGAAAGTAGCTGGAGCGCAGGAGTCACCCACTCAGGACAGTAGCTAGAGCTATAGGAGCCCCCCACATAGAAGAGTAGCTGAAGTTGTAGGAACGACCCATCCAGAAGAGTAGCTAGCACTGCAGGAGCCACCTAACCCAGACAGTGACTGAGGGAAGAGACTTAGCACTAGGACAGAATAACTGACAGACAGGACAAGCAGATCCCCTGAGAACACAACCAAGATGCAGAGTCAGCACGGGGCCCTGTAGCCCCAGCTCCTGACTCATCTTAGCTCGTTATTTTGTTTCTGTCACATGCGGCAAAATTGAATCCTCACTGACAAGAGTGTCACATCAACAACCTGGCCAGACTCTCTCTACTGACTTCCAAACAAGAATCAAAACAAGCCGGGCTCAGTGGCTCAGCCTGTAATCCTGCGCCTTTGGGAGGCTGAGGTGAGTGGACTGCCTGAGCCCACGGGTTCGAGACCCACCTGGGCAACTTGGCGAGACTTCATCTCTACAATAAATAAAAAATTAGCCGGG